TCGGCCGTCACTTATTGACCACAGGTCATCGAGTCGAGGTCAATTCGGCGTTCACAATCCTATTACAGCACACCAATTCTCGCCTCCTCCGTTTCGCAGAGGCGATTGCAATTAACCGGATTAAGCCAATGCATTGCGTTCAGAAACAATTATCGGTCAGCATTAGACTGCCCTGGGGATAGGGGTGATAACCCTGTCTCACTTATCATGTATTAGTCTATTTGTCTGTTTGTATGTATGTTTGGTCGCACCCTTCACTGAATACATATTATTGCGAGTTATTATTAAAGGCACTGATGAGACAATACGAAATGCGTGCATTTGCCAGTCTTCGTCTTCTTACTGCGCTTTTCAAATTACTAAAACTCCTGAAATTGCTCGGCAGGAGGTATGGTCACATTCGAGAGGACCTACTAATGGTTGATTATGCGGACGATATCTTCTTGCTCTCCGACAATGTTGCCGCAGCACAATCAACGCTGAATAGCCTGTCTTGAGCGGTTCCATTATTTGGTATTCGCTTTGTACCTTTATATTGCAAAGTGTTGCTGCAGGAACACCAACCACTTGATGATCTCTTGACCCTTACTATCGAGGAACTCGAGGTGATTGATCAATTCCTTTATCTTGGCAGTTGCATCAGCAACCATGGGCACATAGAAACTGACGTCAGCTTACGCATTGCAATGGCCAGAGCTGCCTTCTTGAACCTGCGGCATCTTTGGGGACAGAAGGGAGTTTCCCTCCATCTGAAAGGTCGTGTATACCAGTCCACGATCAGGGTCGCAATGCGATGATGATGATGACCAATGGTTTCTTTGATCCTACAGAGTGTACCATACTTTTCTGGAGCTCAGCAGTAACACCAGCCTGAGAAAGCACTCCTTAAAACCGCCGAAGCAATAGGCCAACCTGAAATGCTGTAGCAATTTCTCTTCTGTTCTTGTGCGTCGTCATTGAAATGCACTACCCGAGTTGGTCTCCTCTGCACACACACTAACCATATACAAAATGCAGTTAGTTGACGCGTCGCGTCATCTACAATCTCTCACTTAGCAATACTTCTCCTTTCCACTTTAAGAGAAACCATGAACTTATTATCCGTTACCTACTCATGTTGGAAAGACATGAGCGGAGCAGAACCATATATTCTTGCAAATATACACTTATTCTTTCACCTATCTACAAATACGCATGGAATCACCAAAATGATGGAAAGTAAAGGAAGGTACAATCGTCGTAAAACGAATGCTGAACACAACATTTTTTACTCCATCAGCAACCCTGAAAGGGATTGCTCCTGCTGGTGCCATAAAAAATATTAACTGTTTTCTTCGGTAAACGTTTCGATAGCGCTCCAATGACTAACCAACAGCGCTTGCGACTTAATGCTTCTTCGACGGTATAAAATTGCTGTTTGTCGTTCATCGATAGAGCGTAATGTAACTCTACTGTAAAACGACCGGTTAGTATCGTTTTCTTCAACATGTTTTGGGCTTTACTCTCCTCTTCTACGGAACTTCGTATACATTTACATCTTACTCGTAATAAATTTAACAACATGCTATTATGTGGACATGTCATCAACGTTCGAAAGTAAATCATGGCACTTATCACAAATGACAGGGCACAAAGCGCCAACGAAGTGACCGACGTTCTGCAGCTACACCACGGCCGAACCTGCATGTTATCCGTATCAGCTTTCTAACCGAATCCAGTACTTACACATGTCATACTCAATTCAGCAACTGTACTAAGTATATTACTTTCATCCCATGCTCACCGTTCTCAAGGAGCTGACAAAATCCACTTGACAGCGCCATAGGCTTCATCCATGAACCTAAACCAATAGCTGCGACTCTTCACCCAACCATGTATGGATGAGTAACAGGTTGCGATTTTTGGAAGCAAGGTATTATTACACTAGTTTTACAAATAGCAGCCCTACTGACCCTCCTAACAATCGACTAGTGATTCTCGGAGGTGATAGATACGGTTATCACCGAGGCCTTAGTGGACAGCGTTTAAAATACGACATTGCATGATCCGTCATTACAAGTGATGCAACAAATCCTATTGATGAAACAAGGTGTTTGGACGGGATCGGTCGACATTAAGTCCTGATTCGATGTCACCAGCTTAAACTTTTTCATAGCTTTCGATCGTCAGAGTCATTGCATTCTGCTTTACAGGCTGTAGAGCTACGAAATCAGGAATCGTGTTTTGTGAAACGGCAACTTTTTTCGCATGCGGAGACTACAATTGTGTGTTTACGGGTAGTTCCACCTGATTGCGGTCGAATAGGTCGTTTCACAGAGCCAAGGGCTCGGACTGCAGTTCTTCCTAGTGTTCAGCAACGAACTTGAACCCGTTATTGATCGGAATTTCTTGTCTTTTTCCAATAACGTAAATAAGTGATAAGCGGTTATTAGCAAGAACGATCACAGTCCGACTAAAGTGATCTTAATGATGCTCATGCATAGTCGGCCTAAACTTTTCCAGGGTTAAGGTAGCTATTTTATAGTGTTTCGTATACGTCATGCACCGGTGGACTTACAAAAAATTGGAGGCTGACCTTTGCGGCAGCCATCCTAGAACGTAACCTTCTGTTGTCGATTCGGGACGAATTCGATCATAGACGAAAATCGTAAATTGCTTTTTGAAGCAATTTACGATTTTCGTAGCATATTTGGTGGCGGTTTGCTCAACGTGCTCAATCGATTGTCTTCGTCTATTTCTCTACGATTACTTAACACTACCCTGCGAATACACATGGAATTGGCCTTTTAGGCATGGCATCTCTGACACGTACGCGATCTCACTGTCGAGACTCGACAAAAGTGTTTACGAATGTTGAGAGCTGTTTCCATCTACCCTAACAACCGATTAAAATCCCTCCTAAACTCTAGAGGTCAGTATCTGCAATTTCGGTGAACCTGAATGGCTTATCAAATCCTGAAGTACCCCAACCACGTTTACCAGGAGATCCTTGGATCAAGTTATAATGTCAAAGGGAGACTCCATCATCTAAGAATGACCACCTAAAATACCTAGATGGAAATGGTCGAAATGTAATCCTCCTTCAAGCCTGCAAGCCGCTGACGGCACACTTCGAGTACATTGTCTCCGCCCTAAATACGAGATTTAAAATGCGACTTGACGACGCATTCTGACTTCCTCATTTCATTTTATAAATTTCTTCCACCAGAAAGTTACAAGACTCAGTCAAACGGTGTAACCTCAGATTCGAACCAAGCGTACTTATAATTGCTATTATGCAAACATCTCTGCAAATTCGACAGGTCACGTTTAATTTTGCTAGTACTCTTTTAGCTGATTTTGCTAGGTATATTTCAACAATACTGGTGCATTTCTTCGAGATCAGCTTTTGCTCGTTATATACACTTGTTACATTGAGCTCCTGGACATATCACACTTTAAGTATCATGTGATACGTGGTTATAATACTCACCCGTTTTGTTTCTTAAACTCATGATTACATTGACTAGACAGTGCCTTAATCTTAAAAGCTTTCTTCCTACGAAAGGGGAAAGGCCATTGTCTCATGCCAAATTCGCCACACCTTGGCGTGTTGTGTGTGAAAAACATGCAAATGTTTTCAGTGGCTTTGGTCCATATTACAGGAGCCTGGTTCCAGGAGAACTGTATACCGCGACAAGGATAACTGCGGATGGACGATGACAGAGGGCTGATCTCACTGAGAAAAAGCATTTATCATTCTGCTCTGACACACATCTGTAAGACAGTCTGCGGCAATTTATATATAACCAGCAATAGATGGTTGAATTGGAGCTTTCGTACATTAAAAACCGGAATCTCAAACTACTGTTTCTAGTTTATTCCAAAACCTGCATCCATATATAGCATTTTTTAGGAAAGTTTTACTGTGCTTGCGAACGGGTATAAGCCATGAGTGCACATGCACCGACCCAATCGGTTGCTTTGGACCTTCTGTGACAACTAGGTCTCTAAGTATCCTGTTCACCTCCTCCTAGTTCAACAAGTTGTAAACATCTGCATGACTTCAAAGGACAATAAAAGGACATTACGGTTAAAGAGAACAAGGAATCGGGGATGAAGGGCACATAATGATGGTGTCGGTGCTAACTGATTTCCTTTTTCGATTGATCTTACAAAACACATTTTCCATCTTTGTATAGGGCCCATCAATTCAAGATGTTGCTGATTGTGAAATGCGGTACAAGTTCCGGTCCACCTGGGTTATATGAGAGTGGCCAAATTTAATGGATAGAAACACCACATTACCAAGCCGTGGCAACTCGATAGAAATCAGTAGTTACCAATTGACTATCCTTGTCCTCAAGTATGTTAGAATGAGTTCATTTTCAACGATCACAGCGGTCCAACCGAATATAGTGCGCCATCGTAATTTTTGTTAGGTGGCCTTACCCCCACTAATCAAAACTGCCAATGAGATAGCTTATTTTGTCTCCTGCGTAAAAACCCCACAAATTTCAGAAAAATAGACAGAAAACGACACGTTTATTGGTAGCGATACTGGTGAGGTAATAAAACGACTTATTGGTTGCATTGTATCTTTGGCATCTGCCACCTCTAAGAACGAAAAATGTGCATTTAGAAGCACACCAAGATCAGTTACCATGAAAGGAAATGGAAACGATATTCCCAAGACCTGGTTGATGCAGACAGTAATTCAACAAACTTTTGTGTCATCAAAATAGTGACGCTATGTAATTTCAACCTATAGTTTCAACATGGCGCTTTTCGCAACCGGAAACTCATCTATCCAGAAACATACAAGGTAGCTAAATGTAGGTATTCTTATCATGCGTGTGGTCATGTGATCAGCAGGAGTTTAATTACAGGAACTCAAAAAGGTATCACGCCCGTCACCGGATAAAGGATACTGAAAAGGTTATTTACTGCACTTTGTGGCCAGTTTTCGGTGTGGAGATTGTTGAACAGATAAGCAGCTTCCTCATGGTGTCGTAGGGATTTCAGTCTACAAATAACTTGATCTTCTCTTCAAAAAGCGCAATACACAGCATAATCCCGACTCCAGTGAATAGCCCAGTGCTTTGCAGAACCACTTGTCCAATCCTCGTCTGACCGGGACGCAACTCTGCGCCGCTCAACTCAGGAAGCTGAAATTAGTGGTAAGACGAACTAGGATTTGTAGACAGCTGCTTGGACTAAAATTATTTGTTTGCCCTTTTAAATGAAAAAATCTGGGTCAACAAATATCCAGGATAGTGCCGATAGCTGGTTTGGAATATGCGCTGCAACTAATACAAAGGCGGACAACTTAGTAGCTTAGTTCACATGTCTGCCTAACCCGTGGAAGCAAAATGCTCTAATTAATGTCACAGAGAATGCTGAAAAGCGCAGTATATAAAAAAGCGATTGGCAAGTTACCCACTTTCTATTTACTGACGTTCAGTGGAGCCCTCCGGGGATGTCTGTGCCACTGCAGCACAATAATTCAAATCGCTTCTAAATCTTGAATGCCCAGATTAGTAAAAACACCCTACTCTTTCAGACGGCTTTTAGCGGAACAGTAGTCACCACGGCATCTCACAGTGATATACGCACTCATGTCTATTAGTCTGTGTGTTTGTGCACGAATAAATGGTGATAACATGACCGATAACATAATTGTCATGCGCCAGTCTGGAAACGTATCTTTTACAGAAGGGTCATGATTTGCATAGTGACCGCTGTGCTTAGCTCTTACTACTAGGTATACCTTCCTTTGGTATGCCTGGGATAGATGTCGAACATATGCATCGCTGGAGACCAGCTAAAACGGACGCTTCCGCATATGTTCGATGCTAAACGTTGCTCAACTATGGGCTCGGTAGCACTTCTCGATGACCGACGAACCCGACTATTGTGGGTTTAGTATAGCAAACTTAAAGGCAGAGCTAGTTGCACGGAAAAGAGATGGGGAAATTAGATGACATCTAGTGTGTAGTGTTATCCATTTCATGTACACAAAGACTGTATCAAGTTGGTGATCCCGGTGACACCGGATAGCTCATATAGCTACCTGGCTTGGAATGCTCCATTGGGAATGATTTCTGTATTGGTGATCAGGATTCCATGAAAAGTAAATCGACAAATTAGCGCCATGCGTAGTATTTTCGTGTGGATCTCAACGTCTTCTAAAACGTATTTGTCCATTCTTACAAGTCAAAGATTAAGTTTCCTTCGTTTTATTTGTAAATAGTTCAAAGTAGACGCTCATATGTTGTTCATGCAAATCCGCATGAATCATCGTAAGCGAAGCAGGCGGTGGTTGACTTTCAATCATCTAGTGATTGTTGCCCTAACATTTGAATTCTAGTCTGGCTGTGCTCGGACGTTTTCTTGTGATCGCTTTACAGCGCATTGTAAGATAGAATATTCTCGTAGAATTTATCACTTACTATATTTTGGTGATAAGTAAATGAGGTAACTAAAGGGTGCGTGATGACAGCTATCTCAAAATCATGTAAAACGGCGGTGCTACAACATGATTGACTACCATCTGCCTATAAGTAATCTTGTTCATCAACTACGAAGAAGGCTGTTGTCGAACACCATTTCTGCTGTCCAGCACACTGCCAATTTTGAGAGATTGTTCTGCCTCAGTACCTGATAATGTTTCCATGCAGCCTGAAGCTGAGGTAAGTTTAAGCTGTCCAACTAGTCTTAATGCCGTAGCAAACGAACTATTCGTAGTTACCAACTTAATTTCTCACTCCCAGCTGTAGCGTGCATTCACTATTAATACAGTGCGTTGTAGGCGGTAGGGGCAATCACTTCACTGGATGTGTAATGATGCATTCAGCCTCTAAATTGAATAAGATATGTACACCTGCAATTGAGCAATTCAACAAGTAATCTGAATATTTGTATCAGTAGTACGGTGTCCTAACTTGCGGACAATTCCAGTGGTTTCATTTGCTTTAGTTCCTGCGCCCCTAACACAATGAACAGACTATGCTAGAAAACACCTTCCAAGCTACATACCATTACAGCATGACATTCACACTAGTCATGAAGTCAAACAACAGTCCTCCATGTGTATTCGCTGAAGCTGCAACCGACCAAAGCTGAACGCGGAGTGATAACGACTAGCCTGGTTGTCTACTATTAGAAGAATACAACTACACCAATTTGTCCACTGCTTGGTACAGTGAGTTCGCATCTTCTGCGAATAAGCACCAATGGGAATACCGTAGAACATATTCTTTCATTACTGACCATATCAACCAGGGCGATGTAGATGAATGTGCCGGCTGTGACAGCAAATATCCATTGGCTAGCGGAAGCCACGTTGCCGAGGGCGATTCCAGCGAACATTCCAAACAGGGATAGAATAGATGAGACAATGTTGAAGAACAAAGCCTCCTTGATACGCATACCAGTCTTTAGAAGTACCGCGAAATCGCCTGGAATAAAACAAAACAGCAATTTACTAGTTGATATCACATATCTTTGAACAGAACCCCACTATCGTTGGCACCCCATCAATTTGCGCTGTATTTGTATCTCATGCACTTTCTACACACGTAAGTGGCTTATCGGTGCTCGCGGTATAACATTTCTAAATGTGAGTTAAGTAGCCATCACGAAGACAGATGTGACATTATCAACGCCTTGTTGTTTATGTGAGGCAATTACTGAAAAATCCTCAGTCAGCGTTTTCAGCTAGTGCACTCAGAAAAGCTGGAGCTACGATGGACAATCACAAATAAACCATAAGTCGTTTTGAAATGAACTTTGTTCCGTTCAATCATAAGAGCACTGCTTGAAGTAAAGGGTATTAAATATTGTTATTCTCCGACAAGGCACTTCACAGTCGGGGTTTTGACTACTTCGGATCCCTGGATAAAGCCAGCTCGATAGGAGTGGGATTCCAATATCGAGGATTTCCAGTAGACGCGTTTAGCACAGTTTCACTTGGTGCCGCGAGCTACGTCAACCAAATGGACGAGGAGTACCTCTTAATTTCTCTATTATCCATTGCGTCTGAAGTGAGATAATTCAGGTTAGAGGTGGTTCGGTGTTGTTCTTCCCAACGCGGACACCCTATAACCGATATCGTCCTCGTCAGGAGTCATCAGATGGAGATAGCCTGAGCTTGAATGGAACTTATAATTATTTACCGTTGTGCCAAGCGTTGCTCACCGATCCTAGAGCCATAGTGATCAAGGCGTTAGCTTTAATCACTAGGCCCCGAGTTCCACCCCAACTCAGGCTATCTCTATGTGGGGAGTGCGAACGAAGACGAAACCGGTTATGGGGCGTCGGGGTTGGGGTGAGCAACACCAAACCACCTCCATTTCTGATACGGACCTTGTGATCGTAATGACTGGGGTCTACTTCAAAGCGAGCCGTGGTATGAATAACGGTTGCGTGTCGCAATCCAAACACATAGCGGGTAAATCAAATCCAATTGTGATAATCCGGGTTAGTTTGCTTCTTATGTAAATACGATCTTCTTCAAATATAGATCCTAAGATGTTACAACAAAATAGACTGCTGAAGTGCTGTGTCATGGCTTTCAGTTCACCGAGACGATAGTTGGTTGGCTAGTGTAGTATGGTCTTTCAAAAACTGACATCCACTGATCACAGTTTTTCAACGAGCAGCCGTATGTACACGATTGAAAGAATACAGAGGAGTCGTGTTCGTGTAGTCACCATCATCGTTATCCCATCTGCAGTCGTTGCGTTCTAAACTTAGTTCGTTGTTCAGCTCAGTAAGACGTTCCCTACTTCACACACTTAGCTGCTACAACCGTGCTTTCATCCCGCCTTGCCAATGGGCAGATTGGATTCCACCTGCTCTGTGGAATACTGGTTTCAAAGGCGGAACGGCTAGCGTTGGGTTCATCATCCACTTTTAATCATGCTGACTGTACACAAATCTAGTGGCCTCATGTTGGCGTTCGTGGGACATGGGGCCAAAGTCAGGTGTTTACCCAGCGCACACTAAAAGAACTCACCCAGCTCATGTGGTAATTCATGGCAAAACACAGCCACCGCGGTACTGAGACCTCCGGATATGCTTTGAGCAAAGGAAGCTCCTGTAAAAACGTAGATATGTATACATGTCATTTGATGCAGCCAAAGGACAAACTAATTTATCTAAAGTAAGCGAGTGCGCGAAGAATATTCTTTTCGATAATTCTCATCAGGCGAGTACAATTATGAAGCAAAACGTTTGGAGAGAATAAAGCCCGTAGAGGCCTGTACAGAGAGCAATCAACTCATTAACTAGGCAATATGAAAACTAAATCAATGGTTTGATCAATCGGATTGTCGCATTAGGAAGCAGGTGATCAAGGAAGGTCAAGTTCAAGGCCAAGGCAATTTCAGAGCCTGTAGCAGTGTGCGCTGTTTGCACAGCTCTGGTTTTAGAACTTTGATAGCAATAGCTTCAGAAATGCTCAATAAAAGTTTCTTCAGCTGTTTTGGGTATCGTTTAGGGATGGTATAAACGACTCGAAACGACTGGTTTATCTGGACTTGGTGTCCAGTGTCGACCAAGTGTTGCAATACCGAACTGTTGATGGATTTTACCGTGCCATTTCGTAGTGACGCAGGACAATGCTCAGCGATTCTTTTGGACAAACACCTGGTCGTATGTCCAAGATACCTAGCACCACAGGTGCAGGTGAACTGGTATAAGACAAACGATTCGGACCGAACAGGGAGTTTATCCTTTAAGCGCTGAAGAATCAATGGTCTTGTTTCGGCAAGTAGTTTTAGGTTGGCGGCTGGAAATGTCTTGGTCACTGCGGTCGAGATTTTTCTATTCAACAGTTCGAAGGCGACGTCACCTTTAAAGGGAATTGTAAGGAATACATCCTTTTTGGGAACTGTAGCGACACATTTGACAGCCTCAAGCTGTTTGGAATGCTTTTTGATGAAAGGTATGGGGTATCCATTTTCTTGCAGCGTGTTAAAGATGAGCTTGTTTTCGCTTTCAAGCGTCTCTGGACTGCAGATTGCTCTGGCACGATGGTGTAAGCAACGGACTAAATTCCTCTTGTATCTCAGCGGCACAAAGCTAAGAAAGTGGGTGTATTGACCAACCCACGTCGCTTTGCGAAAAACACTCCTTTTGATAGTCCCGTCTTCACGCCGATGCAACAGAACGTCTAGGAACGCCAAGCAGCCATCTTGCTCAACTTCACTGGTGAATTTTAATGATGGATGCACTCTGTTAAACTGATCTACTAGGGTTAGGTAATCGATGGAAGAGTCACAAACAATGAAAGTGTCGTCCATGTAACGGTAGTATAAATCAAATGAAGATATAAGGGTGTTCAGTTCTCCACGTTCGAGCTTTGAAAGGAAGATGTCGGCCAAAAGTGGGCCTAGGGGAGAACCCATTGCGACCCCATCTATCTGTCTATAATAGATTCCATCAAACAGAAATTGTACGTTGAAGGTGCAACGCAGAATCAATTCTTTTAATTTATTCACCGGAATTCCAACATCAATGTTTCTCTCCGTGATGAAATCACAAATGAATGTCACAGTCTCTACCAGCGGCACGTTCGTGAAAAGTGATTCTACGTCAAACGAAAGCATTAATTTATCCTTCACGTTTAGGTTTTCTATTCGGTTGACAAAATCAAACGTGTCTTTGACCGTATGAATCGACAACTCTTTTCGAACCGGTTCCAGCAACTCTGTTATCCACTTTGCGACAGAGTGAAAAGCTGAAGTAGACATATCCACTATTGGTCGCATCGGAACGTTTGTTTTGTGTACTTTTGGCAAACCATAGAGTCGCGGAGGGTGTGAGCCGCATGGGGTCAGCTTTGAGAAGAGTGCATCATCTATGTGCTTCGACTTCCTTAATTCTTTCAAAATTTTAATGATTTTTGCTTCTTCTTGCGAAGTGGTCTCTTTTTGAATTGCGTCTCGTCGGAATTTGTTGGTGTCGTTCAGAATTGTTGTCAGTTTAGAGATGTAATCAGACTTGTTCATCAGTACCCAGCCAGATCCTTTGTCTGGTCGGGAAAGGATTAGTTCTGGGTTGGATAACAGCTCCTTGATTGCGTCACGGTGCTTTTTTGTTAAGATGTTAGATGTTTGAGACTTAACATTCCGATACTGATGGGCAAGATGTACTAACGTGGTCTTAAACGTGTCAAGTGCGAGTGAAGATGAAGGTGTTAAACCAACTAACTATTTCATTAAATTCTCAAATTGGGTCTCCAAATGAATTTGCCCGCATTTCGGTTGGGAGAGGCAGAATTTTGGCCCAAGTGCCAATGCTTCTAAATGTAGCTGGTTCAGTTGCTGGCTAGAGAGATTATGCACATATCTATCGGGATTGGCGGGGAACTTTGTTTCAGGTGAGCAAGGTTCCAAGCTTTTGAGCAACTTAATGTATCGCCTCTCTTTCGTCTTTTCGCATATATCTTGCAAATAGCCAAGAAAAGATTCGCGGTGCTCACTGCTGAGGTCGTCGATCACCGACGAGTAAAGGGTACGCAATCGTTCCAGTTCAGGGAGTCGAGATTGAATGGTTTCCAGCTGACTATGAGCATATCTTTTGAGAGACTTGGCATTTGGACGAATGTGAATTCGTCGGAGCGATTTCCAATAAGTCTTTGGATACTGATTACGTTCTATGCAATCTTGGATGAAACGGATTTCAGTCTTCGCATCTGCAAGCCGGGCGTTAAACCGCAAGCATTTGTTGAGGTCACTAAACGCTTTGGGTTGCTTGCATTTTTTCAATTCATAAATAATCCCCATTTGAGTCAGAAGTAAGCGAGTGCGCGAAGAATATTCTTTTCGATAATTCTCATCAGGCGAGTACAATTATGAAGCAAAACGTTTGGAGAGAATAAAGCCCGTAGAGGCCTGTACAGAGAGCAATCAACTCATTAACTAGGCAATATGAAAACTAAATCAATGGTTTGATCAATCGGATTGTCGCATTAGGAAGCAGGTGATCAAGGAAGGTCAAGTTCAAGGCCAAGGCAATTTCAGAGCCTGTAGCAGTGTGCGCTGTTTGCACAGCTCTGGTTTTAGAACTTTGATAGCAATAGCTTCAGAAATGCTCAATAAAAGTTTCTTCAGCTGTTTTGGGTATCGTTTAGCGGATGGTATAATAACGGACTCGAAACTGACTGGGTTTATTGGACTTGGTGTCAGTGGTCGACAAAGTGTTGCGAGACCGAACTGGTGATGAATTTTTACTCGTGACATGTCGTCCGTAGTGACGAGGAACAATTGCTCAGCCGAGTCTGTTTGGGACCATATACCTGTGGTTCGTAGGTCCAAGGATTCCTAGCTACCACAGCGTGCAGGGGGGAACTGGTATTAAGGACGAATCGGAGTCGGACCGAACAGGTGTGGTATCCTTGAAGAGCTGATAGAATCAATGTCTTGTTTCGGCAAGT